TTCCTTAGGAGGTAGAAAGGAGAATCCGCACGTGATGTTCAGTCTTCAGTCTGACCATTAGCCCCAAAGTCCCTTCTCTGTTCAGGCTTACACTTGAGGTTAGAACTTCTCAGGTTTTTTCATTCATAAACCCCTTCTCACCCAAGAAATGTTTATGCAATTTTGGGCATCTAGATACAAATAGAGCACTTACTGACAGATCATCAAGAAATTTATTTTAAAACAAGTGCTTGGGATGATTATAATTTTATTCTTTATTACTGTTGAAAGCAAATTTGTGTATAAATGATGGATAAACTTACACTTACTTTTTACATAAATAATAAAATCTTAGTTGAATGTCTGATTCTGTGGGACATAAAGCTTCCTCAGCATTTTTCAGAGTTAATCAGTATTTTGACTTTATAATTGTCAATTCTGAGAATGCCACTTCATATAAACACATAGTATAAAATGGTAGAGATATGTCTAGGGCCCTTTCAGAAATTATTGGAAATTCTGTCCTAATCTCAAACCAAAATTTATTGAACAGTTTTTGCTATTTAAGTCAGCAACTCATACAGTAGTTTAAAAAACCAAACCCTCTAACATAACAACAAATTTTTATACTACATGCTGAGGAGTGGTGGTTGAAAAACATGCAAAGTCTTTATTTCTGTAATTAAACCACTTTGTTTCTAGAAGAGCACAGCGCTTTGTGTGTATGATAGAAACACTGTATTAATAACGTGCATTAACTGTGTATGTTGTGTTCAGAACAAAGGCTGCAGTAAGGTTCTTGAATTTGCTTGTGTTTGAGTTTGAATTAACTTTGGTCGCTGCACTCAGAAACGTTTCACTGTTGCCATATTTTTCATGACCCTCAAATTTAGTTTCGTGACCCCATGAGGTTGCACCCCACAGCTTAAAAGACTGTAGTTTAGGTGTCTCAGATTCTTCTAGCTCTAGCAAACCAGAAAGACCATTCAGAGTGTTGGTCAAATGCACTGCTTTGAAAAGTAAGCTCTCTAAAAGCCCTGCCCATCCACTGCACCCTAATAGAGGCCATGTTTCTTCTCTGCCTGGTCACTTGACATTTGAAGGAGAATAAGTGCTGAAAATTCTGGCAGGGGCAGGGTGGTCTGTTGTAGGCCTCTCTGCCCTTTTGGAACTTTCTATGAGGACGCCTGCTTTGCCCTACTTTTTTTTAGGGTAAGCTTTGTATTCTATATAACTGATGGGGTATTAAGTGGATGAAAAGCAAGCACTTTCAGCCACGTGAAATGGCGCCCTGCTCAAGGAGCAGTTGCTGTCAGAGCCCACGAGCCTTCTTTTACCTCTCCTAGGTACTTACTGTCCCTGTTTAAAGAAACCCATCAAACTATTTGTTTTGTTTTCCTTTTATTTACTTATTGTGTGTGCAAGTGTATGGATGCCTTCAGACATCAGAGCACATCTTGAAGGAGTCAGTGATTTTCTTCCACCATGTCGATTCCAGGGATCAAATACAGCAGGTCCTCGGGCTGGGTGCCAAGTACCTTTACCTACTGAATCATTTCGCTGGCTCTTGGTCTGGTTTGTCAAGCTGTGTGTTGAGCATGGTGGCTCACTTGTAAACTCAGTATTCAGGAGGCTGAGGTGGGACAATCCCTTAAGCCCAAGAGTCAGAGACCAGCCTGGGTAATAGCATAGTAAGACTCCACTTCAAAATACATAAGTCTTTGTATTATCTCCAACAATCATAAATTGTGTATTCATTTATGTCTAACTTTTGTCTAGTGTTGTATATGAACAATTCACACATATTTTTCCACGTGGCAGTAGTTTATTTTCACTGCTGTATGCTATTCTGTTTTATAAATAGTAGTTTGTCCATCTGTTTCTTTTCGGCCACTTGAGTTATTTCCCTGTTCTGTTTGAGACTAATAGAACCTGTGATGTATGAAGGTGTATATGTCTCTCAGTATATATTCGTGTGTGTTTCAGTTAGGTGTATTTTCCCTTTTATCCTTGTAAAAATTTGTTTGGTGGCTTGGATAATTACATACATATTAGACTAGAAAATTAGCACAAATAAAGCAGGAGATTAAAAGCCATCATTGTGCCTACAAGTGGCTAGTGAGAAGGTATTGAATGAGCATCCTTGAATACAAGCCTAGGGCAACCTCCCTGGTAGACAAAGGAGAAGGAAGCAGTCTCTGTTGAGTGATCCTTTGGGTCTGGGCCTCCTAGTGGGCTATGCAGAGGTTTTGGAAGGCTAGGAACATCACAGGGCTGTGGTGACTTTTGCTAGCAGAGCTCTTTGGTCTCCTCACATTCCCCTCTGAGTCATTGTACAGAGAGGCTTGCCCCCTCTCCAGGGATGCATGAATCCTGTCCCCTCCCTAGGGATGTAAGATGACAAGCCACATGGGACTTACCTGATCCCTGCATTGAGGATCACTTAACAGACTTGGACTGACCTGATGAATTTGTCTTTCTCTGTCATAAGGAAGTTGCAGACCCATATTAGTTGACAGAAAAGGGAAGAGTTGTGGAGAGGTCCATGTCATCCTCAGGCTGGACCAGCTGCCCACTGGTCAAGCTGCTCTCATTTGCTAATTGAAATCCCCTTCCTTCTCTGGGGCCCTTAGCTAGATCATGGCATTGAGCCAGCTTCCTGTGCATAAAGAGCTCAGTGCCACTCCTGCAGCCACACAGAGTCACCGTGACTCCTTAGGGGCCATTGCCTTTACACAGCGGCTTCCTTATTGTAGTCACCCTGGGTGACAAGAAAGCTAAGATGCAGTTGGATACAGTTGACTTTTTGTTTGTTTGTGCTTGTTCTGACACACGTGTACAGCAGGGGAACTGCTTTTTTGTGTGTGAAAAACTTACATGGCAGCCCTAGAAAAACACATGTTAACTGTCAGTGCCTTGAGGACCCTTCTTCCCTGTGTCCTACAAAAGTCCAAGATGCACTGAGGAGTTTATCCAAACTAAAGACATGGGTGGTTTGACTGAAGGTCATCACTGGAGTTGGTACCATGGCCAGGCTGAGCCTGCAAACCTCCCACCCTCAGCCTCTCCCTGTCTCTGCCAGGCCTTGGGAGCTGGTTTCATGGCCTGATGGTCCCGTTTGTCCCTTAACCCTGTCCTTCATGCAACTCCCTGTGGATCTAGCTCCCCACCTTCCTGTTCTCCAGAACTGAGACACGGCACTCCAGGGTCTCCCCCTGAAGCACGTGGGCCACAGAGAAGGAAATGTCACAAAAGGAAGGGCCTGGCAGTTTTGACCACCCACCCTGAGCTCCGCCTTGCATGAGCAAGGAAATGACCAGAAATGGGTCTCAGGAAAGTTTTACTGTTTTCCAGGGAACATTCTAGCATGGTTTTCAGGCCTGTTCCCTGTCTCTCTGCTTCTTCCACCTTTTGCTCCCAGCCCAGGAGCTTCCCAGTGTCCATCCACCTGCCATTCAGGGCAGGCCCAGGAAGTGGAATTAGATGCAGTTAATGCGCTGCTTGTTAGCAACCCTGGTAAAAATAACACAACCTAGCGTTTAAGCAGACTGGATGGCTCAAATGGAATTTGGAGATTATCCACGGGCTGAATTGGCTGGCGTTAAGTCATAATTAGCACGGCTTGGGCTCTCTCTTTTCAATTAGTCTGAACAATGCAGGACTAGCTAGCCATTAGAAAAATGGTTCAGGCTTCTGCTTTATTTACAAGGTCCCAATTGCATAGAAGCACGGCCAGGATATCAGGGGATAATCAGAAGTGTTCTGTTTTCTGAAAAACCCAGAATACCACACGCTGACTCCCCAGAGAAGCTTTGGCTCTGGGCCTATAATCCCACTGCCCATTCCCGGCCAGCCTTGCTGAAGCCCTGCATGGCCCTGGACAGGAGATAGAAGATCTCAGAGTTCTACAGAAGGACTGGGCACTGTATGTTCTGTGTCACTTCCAGTGTTCTCTGCTGCAGTAGAAATGTTGCCAATGCTTCAAATAGAGCAAGGGTTTATAATTATCTGGAAATAGTGGGATTTTGCCCTTTTATTGTTATTAATTTGAGGAGAGGTAATCTCAGATGATTGTTATGTTGTTCCTAAGGAAGGTATAAATTTAGTCCTTATTTAGTCATCTTGAAAATAGGCAGTGGTTTGTTTTGTTTTTACTAAGTTTATTTTATTATAAACTTTCCAATTCTCAAAAAAAAAAAAAAAAAACCCAAAAAACAAAAACAAAAAAAAAGTTTTTTGGCCCAGTTAGTGATAACATGCAGAATTCTACTCAAGAGTGCAGAGGTCTGGGGGCAGGGGGAAGGAGGGGAAGGAGGAGCTTCATGTTCTTAAAAGTGCTCACAGCACCAAAACATAGGGTAGAGAGGGTAAGGGGTGGTGGGATGTTTGGTTTTTTACTGCTTCCTAATCCTCAGCAACACTTAGCTTAAAAGCTTTTTTCTTTTAATCTAAGATTTTAGAGTTCAGCCAAATACCATGAGATAGATTAACAAGACAGCTCGTGCATGCGGCCCCAGAACCAAATGTGTGTTTAAATTAAGATAGCTCACAAATTCCTCCACTAATAGGAAGGTTGCTCAGTCCCTGCAGCTGCTCCCAATTTCTTATTTCATCCGAATGACAGAATAACATGCAGTAGTTAGCGGGAGGCAGGTAAGACAACTGGCATCTAGTGAAATGCATGCCTCTGTCAGGATGTTCTATTATTTATTTACATTTTCCTTTTGTACTGGTTTCACTTTCTGCCTCTGTAATAAGTACATACATTATTTGGGCTTTTACCTTGGGTTTTTACCATTTTATCTCACCTGTCTGCTTGCCATTAAAATGTGTAGCTGAAATGTATTAATTCCACAGAATGCCATAGAAATGAGCAAACTAATTCAAGTGTCCAAATTATGCAGTGTTTTTCATGGGTTCTATGTAAACACTGAGATGCTTTCATCTTTGCACTTTGCTGGTGTGTGTATCTCTTGTTATTTCCAAACTGCCGTATACCAAAGCTGGTTTTCTTTATACAGCATTTTTTGTCCTCAAGAAAATACTGAAGAGGCGCTGCTGTTGCTGCTCATTAGTGAGTCTATGGTAAGTGGAATGTGATTTTCATTGTTCTTTCACCACTCTCGAGAATCCCTTTCTTACTGTGGCCATTCCCTCGTTATGATTTTTAATCTAGAGAAAAATGTTCTGGAAGGAATGCCTAAGTGGAGGGAGGAGCAGCAGGGCTTTAAAAAGAACCAATGTCTCTGAATCCCTGAACAGCTACATGCTCCCTGGCCATCCCGGGTTCTACAACAGTAGGAAGGGCTCTTGGTTTATCATCCATCGGCCAAATAGGACTACATATTAGCACTTTCATATATAAGGACTCTGGTGAAAATGGTCCCCAAAGGAAGTTTGTCCGGGGAGTGCAGCCCCAGAGTGAAGCAGTGTGTGGCTTCTCAGTGTGCTAGGTGTGAAGACAGCGCAGAGATGGGTCACTTGTGGGCATGTCCTTCCTTTCTTTCCTAGCAGGAGCTGGATGGAGCTTGCTAGTGCTCTCACCCTGCTGTATCCACCTCCTGGTCTGGACCCTGTGGAGTCACAGGCTGGGGGATACCCTCCACTGCCGAGGTCTGCTTTTGTCAGTGGTGTTTTGACCAGATTATCAGATGCCTTTGAAAATCACTCTTGGGGTTTGGCCAGGATATTGACTTTTGGTCTAAATATTCATTATCTCTTTGGGCTTCTGCTCTATATAGCACTAGGGATGCCAGCCCTGGCTTAAAGCCTTGGGGATGCTGCAATGAAATAGTTAGAACAGGCCAATGGTATGTGCCTACCACTTGAGCAGAAACAGGTTCCTAGAGGCCGGGGGTGGGGGTGGGGCTCCTGTCTACTTCCTTTTTTTTTTTTTTTTTAACAGATGAAGACTTGAGGCCAGAAAAAACAAAGGCCATACCTAGTGTGTTGGTTTGCTGCCCCTATGTGTAAATTGTATGGCTCCCTTCTCAGAGATTTCAGCCCACCAGGCAGACCATAGAGAAAGAAGGAATCATAAGGATAGCAAGAGAAGTCCCTACACTCAACTTGGTGCTTAACTGGTCAAGAAATATGCTGAGGTGACTGTGGATAAAGGGCCAGGAGAGGAATGCTATGTGCTGGGAAGAGGTGGCCAGCCAGGCTAGGACTTCAGCATGCGTAACTCTCTTGCCTCAGGTTGAAACGTGGGGTTCTCTTGTTCTGCAAACTGGCCCGAAGCTGTTTCCAGGAGCAGACTGTTTGAGTTACCACTGCTTTCTACAGGGCCACTGTTGACGTCATTGGGCTCACTTCCTCCGGGAAGCTGGTTGCCCCTGGTTCATCTTTCCTTGACCATCAGCTTGTAACTCGGAATGGTGTCATTTATACTCTGCTCTGCCTTGGCAGTGTCAGGGAAGGCACATAGGTGATAATGCAGGCAGTGGGTCAGTGATCTTTTTTTTCAAGTATATAAGACTTGGCCTTTTTGTCACTGGTTTGTGAAGTTGGCCTCCTAATTGTTCTGGACTCTTTACAACTTGGCAGTTAATTTCTTCAGTGCAGCTTGATTGACTATGCTGTCCAAGCTCTTTGGTGGGCTACCGGATAGCTGTGAGATCAGGTGCTACAATCTGGAATTTGGAAAACATGGCCCCATATCTACAGCACTTGCTTCTCGTATGGTAGAGATGCCCTGGAGTGGTAGCTTTAGTTCTCCTGCACCTTCACAGAAGTGATAGAACGAAAATATTTGTGTTGAGACCTTTTGAGCAGTTAGATTTGCCTCCATGGTATTTAATTTCTAGAATCATCCCTTCAGGGGACAATTAAATGCTGTGATGTCATAGCTTCCCAAATCTAACACATGACTCCCTGTAAGCCTCTTCTATCTGAAGTTGCCATTAAAGGGCTTTCCCTCCACAATGTCATTTGGTGCTTTGATTTTTCATTTGGGGACAGATAATTCATGTGCTCGATTTCAGAACCAAAACAGGAGCTGCCTTGCTCTTCGGATGTCTGGGAAAATGATATTCTTTATTAGTTCCGACTTTAACTTAGAAGCATCAATTTCTCTACCATCTCCCCACCTACAAGGAGTCATTTGAAAGTGCACTGCTTCTCACTACATAGCAAATTACTCTTCTCCTGGAGGCAGAGGTTGTCAGAAGTGTGTCTGTATAACCTCACTGAGTCAAATTCTAGGTACTTGCTGTGCATCTGCCTAAGATTCTAGGCTGTAGCTCCCAAAAGGAAGCAGAGCTGCCTGGAAAGAGGACACATTAGGAATAACTAGAAAACCTCTCCTACGTAGTATCTGTGCCTTTTGTTTTGTTTCCTCTGAAGTGTTGGTCTCAATATAGAACATTTATAGCAAATAAATAAGCAGAGACTGTCTACAGCAGGGCCTTCTTCCTTCAGAGTGCCTTTTGTTGGGCTCACGAGGAGCTGTACAAAGAAAACCAAGTGAAATCCTCAAAAGCAGGATTGTCTTCATAAGAGATGACCCACTTTGTAGGAAGTGGCCTGTTTTATATAGTCTCATTTGGCTTTGACATTTAAGAGCCAGGAGTTTTCAAGTGAGTAAGTTCTGACGGGTAGCTGAAACTAAATGCCTTAGACACACAGAAAGAAGGCATTTTGCCTCATTAGCAAGAGGGAAGGTGTATGTGTGGCCTTTCCTAATGCCAGGCAGGAAGATAAACATCAGCCTGGGGACAAGTGACCCCAAAACCTCACGTACCCTTGTCACACAGAATACTGTGCATGCCTTGCTGCTTCTCAGACATGCTTGGAGACAGTTCATTAGCAGAGCTGGGGGTGGGAGAAGCAGGCAGAAGCCTAACTTCAGTGCTTTAGAACTCCCTATTAGAGGAAAAAAGAAAATGAGATAGCTATCAAGAATCTAGTCTGTGGGGTGTATCTGGAGGAATCTAGGGAGAAATTGTATTTTAGAAGCAAGGAAAACATGTTGGTGTGAGGAACATTTGACTTTTGGATAGACGGCCTGGGAAAGCTTGGTTGTTCTCATGGATTTCTGTACTAACCACTAGAACTGTGAAATTAGCCAGTGTTCTCTTGAGTCTCTGTGGCAAAGTGAAAATTACTCGCTTCTTGTCTTGTACATCTGTTTTGTGCTTCCCTTTAGAAGATTGAATTGGTCGTTGAGGGCTGTTCTCATGGAGATGTCATGCAGGGATCTGAGTGTCACTCAGTGACTGAGGGGAAAGTCTGATCACCTCTAGGACTTGAAACTAATGGAACTTGATGAAACCATTGGGGATGGGAAGTGCAGGGCTGGGAATCCTTTCCTCTTCCTCAGCATACAGTAGAAGCCTGATCACAGAAAGACACAGGTGGATGTGGGGGTTGGGGAAGGAACAGGGGGCCCTCACTTGAATTGTCCAGTGCCTGTGCAGCCCGCTGAGAGACTCACATCTGGCCTCAAGTGTTGAGTCAGACCATAACCTATATCTGTAGTGCTCTGAGGATTTTGGATCTATGACTTGAGGTGACAGACCTGTCACTCATCCTGCCCAGTGAGGCAGGGTAGCCTAGGTGGCCTCTCTGCCACATGGCAGTGGTGGAGTGGAGGCTGGCTTACCATGTGCTGCTTTTTTCTGTGTCACCTTCAGGCCAACAGAGATGCCGTGCTAAGCAGGATCCCCGAACACAAGAGCGACCGCCTCATCAGCCTGCAAAGCGCATCTGTGGTCTATGATTTACTGACCATTGCTCTTGGAAGAAGAGGCCAGTATGAGATGCTTTCGGAGGTACACCTACTAAGTCTGGCTGCTTTCCGGGTTTGGGGGGATGGCAAGATGACCTGGAAGGGGACAGAAAACCTGCTCCTTTGTCCCATTCTGCCAGTGGCATATGTCATTGGACCAGTTATTGATCTTTGCTCCTTTGTGGCTGGGCTAAGCAGTTAGTTAGTTGATGGGAATGAAGGTGAGCTTCTGTCGGAGGACTGTGCCCTCCAGCTGTGTGGGGGAGGAGGACAGCACTTTCCAAAGTAGACTCTTTCCCAGTACAATTCCTCTCATAACCAAAGCCTCTCATCTCTGACACTGATGTCCTCAGAAAACAGTTTCACTTAAACTAGGGCTGGGTAACTTCTGATGACATGCACTTTGGGTCACAAGTAGCACGAGGTTGGCTGGTGGAAACCATTTCATCCCAGAAAGGCACTCTTTGTTTACAGTGCTGTGCCTGCTCAAAAGCAGACTGATAGATTCCAGGTCTTGGGCAAGGGGCCGTGATGTTCTCACCCCTCTACTAGGAAACACTTAGGACAGACATGTGATGTTTTGGTTTCATGTGGTTAGTTCATCTGAGCCGGGGTTATGAATTATTAAGCTCCTGCCCAGAATACCAAATTTCATGTTGATAAGACTAAATAAGTAAGGAGACCAGCTTATCTCTCCCTTAACAAAATAGAGAAAGAGGGACAGAAACAACCTATTTTGTGAAAATAAACTTTTTTGTGTTATTTATCATTCTCCTTCTAAATTTATACCCATTGCAACAGCCTCTGGGCACAAGGACAGGGAGTGAAATACAGTAACAGATTGGCTGAAATCAGATCAGAGCTCAGCTCACCCTGCAGCCTGCGGTGCCTCTCCACATTAGGCAGGAACTCGGGGAACAGATGAGCCTGCGTGACTTAATTCTATTTTTAGTCTTTGGTTTGGTGACTCTACAGGACAATGGTTATTCAGCCTTCGGGAAAAGCGAGTCCCCCACAATGCAGTGAAGCAATGAGGTGTGACCACATACATAGTGTGCCCTGCTGGCACCCAGTGCAGGCCCAGGCTTAGGCTGGACTAGTCTCACTCAGCCTTCTAGTCCCCTGTGGGCCCTTAGTTTCCTGGGCCTATATATCCCTTGGAGACTTTTGGACTTGGTACCATCTTTGTGTTTTGCTTGTCAGAAATATAAATCAATTAATAGAGCTATAAAACTTATTTCTTCAATATATATATGTGTGTATCTCACCTGTTCAGTACCAAGAGCTGTGTACGCTGGGAATGCAGCTGTGAGGGAGGTATGCCCTGTGCACACTAGCAGCCTCTAGGCTAGAGGTGAACAGCCAGCAGTGTGCACATATGGCTGACCCAGGGATACCCAACATAGCCCGTATTGTTGGACACATGGCCTTAGCCTTTCTTACCCTTTACAGGGGTTGGGGCTTTCTCCACAAATGTGCTAGCTGTACTGTCTCAGATCTTCTCATGAACACAGTGCTATGCCGTACCAGAAAGATGAAAACTCCGTATACTTGAGGGATGGTACCTCCACCGTCTCTGAGGATGGAGCCACTTTCTGCTTAAGCAAGAGCCCTCCCTCCATCTCAGATAACATCTTGGAGTGACCTGTTTGCCCATTTCCTTATTTAATCTATTTAGCTTGTTTTACTTGTTCTCATTTACCATTCTACTTTTTTCAAGATTTTTAGTTAAGACAGGAATAGAACATTTTTTAAGTTGAGGTGAAGTTCACATATCAGCTTAGTAGTATGAAGTACGTAATCAGTGCCATTTTTATCCCTATCACTGTATGGCTGTATTAGTCAGCTGTGTAGCACCATAGTGAGATTCCTGGCACAAACTACCCATGAAGAAAAGGGTTATTGCTCTTACAGTCTTAGAGGGTCACCTTCCATACGGTATATATAGGCTCTATAGAGAGAGCTACTGCTTGGCTTTGTCATCTCACGCCAGCTAGTGGTTGGTAAGAGCACCTTTGAGAACAAGAGTTTACGTTTCAAATAAGGAGCAGGAAGAATGGGAGAGGCCCAGACTGCTTCTTTTATTGCAATTGCCCCCCCACCTTTGATAACTCACAAAGTACATGAGAACTACATCATGGCCCTGCCCAATGCCTTGAAGCCCCAACCCTGGTATCCATACCACCTCCCCAAGGTACCAGCCTGTACATTAAGCCTTTCACTGCAGTGAGCTCTTATAGACACCAAGGTTATAGCAGTAACTGTCACCTCTAATTCCTAAACATTTTCATCCTAAAAGGAAAGCCAGGTCTGGAGAGATGGTTAAGCACACTTGCTGTCCTTGCAGAGGACCAGAGTTCCCATCCCAGCACCTACATCTGATGGCTCAAATCAGAGCTTGTTTCAACACTTCACTCCATCTTGTGAACTTCACACCATGAAGTTCAGAGGCTTTGGTGATACGTGTTTGGTTGGTTCTCCTGGCTAATGTGACGAGTGTTGTTGTGAAGGAGCTGGATTTGTTCCTAATATTCACGAGTGCATTTCCATTCTTCTGCTTAGAAACCCTCAGTGGCCCCTCTTCTCTCTCCCATTTTCTTTTTCCTTTCTTCTTACAGTGAACTTTACTTCACTGTTTCTCTTGTCATAAGCAACAGCTCCGCATGCTCCTTGAAGAATCAAACAATACCTATAAATAAAGAAAATAACAGTCACTTATCTGAGCTTGCTAACCTCTGCCATCTTAGAGGCCATCTTTAGTCCATCTTTACGCAGAACAGCTTGCGACAGTGAGATGGTGTGTGTGGGCATGTGTGTGTATACATGCACTGGCATGTTACCATCTTATTCTCTTCTCACATTGGCATGCCCATCCAGTCTCTCCATCCCGAAACCCAAGCCACCTTCCCAGTGTACCCTGTGCACACTCTCAACTGTCAGATGACTTTGGTTTGAGCTCTGGATCTGCCACTTCACAGTAGTGCAATCCTAGGCAGTCATTAACCCATGCCTCTTTCTCTTTTCTGTACAATGAGAATAATGCTTATGTATGTCTCAGACAGAGGTAGGTGTGCATGAGTATGCATGTGTTTGTGTGTTTTGTGTAGCTGTGTGTATGATGCATGCACGTGAGTTTGCAGGTGCACCCTCATACAGATGACAAACAGGACATCAGGTGTTTTTCTCTATTACCTTGAGATAGGGTCTCTCACTGTTTCAGCTAGACTGGCTGGACATCAAGATCTTGAGATTCTCCTTTCTCCACTGTATAATGTTGAGGTTACAGGAACATACAGCCATACTGTGGGTTCTGGGCATTCAAACTTAGGTCCTCCTTGCAAAACAAGTACAGTACTGCTACCCACTGAGGCATCTCCTTGGATAGTTGTTAATTCGTATAAACTCATGACTCTCCATTTGTGCATCCCAGCATGCAGAGCTCATTAAAAGGCAGCTGAATGCATAGGTGTGCTGACTTTCCCACTGTACACAGGAACTGCACAGACAGGGCACAGGTCACAACATCTACAAGATGCAAGAGAAACATCTTGCCTTACTATAAAGCGCACATAGAAGCATTCAAAAGAAATTAGAGGAGACAGCAGGGCAAAGCTGTGGATTCCTAGCTAGGAACAGGCCAGTTCTGGGTGAAGGGTTTAAGGTGCCAGTTAGAGCTGAGTAGCCACTGACACCTGAATGGGATCATCAAGGCCTGATGGGAATTAAATGCAGTAGTCGTAAAGGCCTGGTGGGAATTAAATACAGTAGCCTTCCTTGTTGGTAGTTTTGCCCTTATTGGTGGTTTCAGTTTTCTGTGGTCAACCTTGGTCTAAAAATATTAAGTGGAAAATTTTTTAAATAAACAGTTCAGAGGTTCAGTTGCTTGCCATTCTGAGCAACATGATGAAATCTTGCCCCATTCTGCTCTGAAAAGAGAAGACAAAGAGGGTCAAGGGTGACTTATCTCTCTGCCTGCTTGTTAGTTATTTAGTGGCCATCTCATTTATCAGATTGACTGTCAGGTATGGCAGTGTTATGTTCGGTACTAATTCCCACACTTCATGGCACACAGAAGGAAACAGTGTTGGCCCTGCTCTAACAGGATCTAGTCACATGCCTTGACTGCTCTGTGAGCTGGCCATGTGTGCCTCAGAACCAGTGTGTCTTTGTATGGGTGAGGCCTTCCTGCCTAGAGAGCACCACTGAGCCAGGCTCTTGGTAGGGAGGTTTTGTCCTGAGCCTTCCTCCCTCCTCCTCCTCCTCCTCCTCCTCCTCCTCCTCCTCCTGCTCCTCCTCCTCCTCTTCCTCCTCCTCCTCTTGTCCCCAACTAGCCTCATGTCCACAGAGCAGGTTTTCCTCCTTTTAGCTCTTCTTTTTGGCCAGTCTCTGCCCACAAGCACCAGGAAAAGAAAAGGAAGTGGCTGTGCTGTGAGTGCCAGCATGTCCCCTCTTCTGTTCCTGGCACCCTCAGGCACAGGTGTGTTGTGAAGTCAAGGTAGAGACCCAGCCTTTGAAAAGCTAATAACAGGACGGGGCCATTGTTCTCTTGGTGCCCCATTCTTTCCAAGTGCTTATTCAAGATGGAGGGCTGCTCTCTGAGCTCAACATTGGCTTGCCTTGGCATGTGCCCACATCAACATTTCTTTTCTTCAGGGCCCTGTTTACCCTGCTAGTGGGCATGAAGAATGGAACAGCAGAAAGAAACCTAAGGTTTATCCTGGCCTTTCTCTGACAGGTTTAAATACGAGCACAGTGTTTACCATGGCTCCAGTGCTATGGGTTTTTTTAAGGGCTAATTGTGAGCCCTGCTGAAAAGTTTGTGTAGGAAGGAACACCTCTTTTTTCCCCTTCAATTTAAACAGCAGCCCTAGTTGGCATGACAACCCCTCTATTAAAAGTAAGGCCAGGAGCCCTGCTTACTGTTTTTTCAGAATGAACCGAAGCTGCTAAGGAGGTTTGTTTCTCCAGTCTGACTATTAACAGTTCCATTTTAAAAGAATATTATGGGGTCTTCTTGGAGATAGTGTGTGCTCCCCCTATGTA